ATGTTCGAGCTTTCTCCTGAAACATACCTTTCAGGCTAGTGATCATGTCAATTGGTGAATCCACGTTCTCGTATTGCTTCTGCAAATCCGAGTTCATGGTTGCCAACATAAGAAAACACACATCGACCCTATCACTGCCATGCTTCTCATAAGCAGTTCTTTCAGCATGTTGGACATCGGTCTTAGGTTTTTCAGGAAGAATTTTTTCCAGGGAAATAGTCCTTTTTCTCCTGCTTGAGAACAATTCTCAAGTTTCAATACCATTCAAGAAAATTCGATCCATTCAATTTGTCCTTCTCAAGGACAGATCGCAATGAGAACGAATAGTGGGGAGTCCACATTACTGGAATAAAATAATAGGGAGTGTTAGTATGATGTTTATGAATTTCAGAAATCTCAACAACTTAAGAAAACTCGTACTAAATTCAAAACATTTTCCTCAAATGAATATAATAATCCAAGATCCATATTTCACTAAAATTCGAGTGAGCTTTGGCTTATCGCCCGAATTCTAACTATTTAGGTAAGCAACACTTTGCTAATTATATCCAATATAATTCTTGGTTATCAGACGACATCTTATGTCTTATCCAACCTATGTCTCTAAGCCCAAAACTGTTTTGATAGCCTAGTCAAGTAAACCAATCTTGTTTCATATGGTAACCGTTATCATCCACCTCACTCATGTAATTGCAGACACTTTACTTTGGCAAGCCCATCTTACAACGAAACGAGCCTTGATGGTTGATAAGATTGGGTAGACATCAAAAATACTTGAAATTAATTGAGTAACAAATTTTAATTCAATTTTAATTTATATTTAAAATTTTATATCTAATATAAAATAAATATAACTAATACATACTTATATGTATTTAAATTGAATTATAAATAATTATGTAATTCAAATAATTTTAATCTAATTAAAATTATTAATTATATGTAATTAATTTCAGAATCTAATCATATTAGTTCTAAACAAAAGATTAATACAACTAAACCTAGTTAATCAAATTAACCAATTTAAACCAAATCTGGTTTAACCGGTCTAAATGGTCGCACATACAAACTAATTACTAAATCACTTTATGTATTACAATAACACACAATACACGATTACCTTATGAATTAAATGTGTATGAACCGAATTTCATGTATGCATATATACATATATCGACATATGATTTTAGTTCACTTAGTTAATCTCAAGCTGCCATAGCAAAACCGTATCCTATACATGTTTATTATAGCCATGAACCTTTGACTCTTTATTAAATCCGTATTTATGAAAGTTATAGTTTGAGACTAACAAGAAGAACGAGGACGATCCCCTCATATGCACAGAGATTAATTAGTTTAGTAATCATGCAACTTCAAAGTACGTGCTCCCTTTTAGATCATATATTTACATTGGCGATGAAACACTTTCAACCGTATATAAAATTTATATAGGGATCGATTATAATCAAATTATAACCTCTTTCAAAATTGCTATTTCAATTTCAACAAATATATCATATATATCTATCATACTAGATTCAAATCAATATTATGCAAGTAAGCTCTAATACCACTGTTGGAATTCATACCGATTTATAACGATTTATAAAAAAATCTATGAATTACATTTGCCTAGAATCTCATGCAAATACTGAAATAAATCTAGATCTTTAGGGTTTTCAAATATACCTGATTATCACAGCGGAAAGATGAATATACCAAATCGAGATTTCAAGCACTCCAAACATCGTGCCTCTACCGGTTTCCACACGCACACAAACTAGATAACTACGGGATGCTAGTACCGTCGAGATCAAATCTCAAAACAAACTATTTTGTCTTGCACGCTATTGAGTTATGTGGCTTATTATCTACACCTTATGTCTCACGTACTCATCATATATAAGTTTACAAAACCATAAGACAATTAGGTTTAGTAATATAATTTATGGGCCAAGCCCAATAATTAATTAACCAACATTACATGTATGGTTACATCATATGTAACATATAATTAAGTTAATAATACCACATAGATATAACAAGTTTATATCATTATTTCTGAATTCAAAGTATCGTTGATCTAGTTTGCTTAGGTGTGTGATCCTGTAAGATCATATAATATTAGCAATGAATTCTCAATTCATAGATTATAAGCGGTTGCTAGCAAAACATTATAATCGCCTAATATTATATGATTGTCAAACCTCGACACTAAGACTTCTACTGGAGTAAGTACAAATGATTTTAGCATATTCCCAACAAGTACAAGTCTACACCAAACACTTGTGACAAGATCTTTGACAAAGACTATATAATAGAGGCAGGAGCATTCTGCATATCAAGTAAGGATCTGATCAGAAAGGCTCATCTTGAGATCCAAAAGATGTGCTTGATGCTATAGCTTCTTGATGTGACTTAAAAACAGGAGCTGAGTTTGAGATGAGGGTTCTAAGACATGATTATATGATTATTAAAGGATGGAATCTTATAGTCCTGAGAGTGTTACGGACGATAGAGCCATGTCGATAAGGGTCTCCAAAGTTGCAGCAAGTTAGTGGAACTGTGTTGATTTCTGTTATCCACCAAAATGGAAGATACTTGTAAGAAACGACAGAAAAGTTGGTACGAGCGTTTGAAGCTGCAATTTTCGTCAACTTGATTGAAGTCTCAAGATGTAGAAAGGATGAAAAAGAGAGAGTAAAATGACTTTGGAAAGTTATGCAATGATGATATATCTGAAAAAAAAAATGCCATGATTACACGTACAGATGGAAGAAGAAATCTTTATGGATACATTTGTAAGATGCAAATTATCATTAGAACAAGATTGATTCTTACTTGTGGAAGATATGGTTCTAGTATTTGTCTTGCGGCAGTGAAGATCAGTTTGACGCATTAAGTCTTGAACCACAAAACACTAAAACATTAGACTCACTGCTGCTAGAGATCACAAGAGGCAAAACATGTTTCATCAATTACTTTTAAACTCTCTTTCACAATTAAAGTCACAAGCCTTGAAGTTCATGTACTTTTGATTGAATTAAAGCAAGTTTTTGACCAATAAAGTCACAAGCCTAGGCCACACACACCATGTGTTCTTGATCGTATGCGTAGATTTGGTCGCAATACGGAGAACGTCAACTATTGGCTGCTAGAGGAGAAAACAAGTTAAATCATTGTTGAAGTACGACGACATAAAACGTGTGTGACTAAGTTATGTCAAACTCCAATTGCTCAAGAGTCCCAATAATAAAAATTAAATTAATTTATCAAAACTAAATATATGATAGTAACATGGTTATTTTGAAAGGGTCTTTGGTATTTGTATTCTCATCAAATAAGCAGTGTACAATTTATTTGTAATTCGGAGTTAGAAAGAGCACCGACGCCTGTATCTTCTTTCGTGCACACACGTACAACATGACACGTAAAAACCATTCTTATCATGAACTTGTCTACTACGTTTTTTATTCGCCTTCCTTAGCCATTGACTATTTAAGTAACTGTGATGTATGTATGGGACCATACAGGTCCTGATGCCTTTTGGATTAGATAAAGTAGTAAAAATCTATTACGAAGAAAATATCTTCGGACCTATACTTCTGGAACCATACAGGTCCAAGTGTCTTTTGGATTAGATTATTTTTGGTCGATGAAATAGATGATGGCTGTTTTCTATCAGCCAATGAACTTTACTTCAAACTATATAGTAATACTTTTGCTATATATGACAGCATATATATGTTTAACATACTAGTATTAGTCATAAGTTTTGAATATAATTTTATTATCATTAATGAAATTATATTCTATGACGAATAGTAAAATGCCAACAACCATTTTATTTAAGACAAAAACTTTGTTGACTAGAGTTCCACGTTTTTTTTTTTCTTATTAATTGAATCTGGACATAGATCTCACAAATTCGCAACCACCACTAATTTTGTAAGTATAAGTAATTCCTTTTTATATGATGAAATTTTGGAGAATAATTGGTAATCTTCATACAAATTCACCAGATTTAGTACAGTTTTTAAAAGACTAATACAGCTTTTTAAGAACAACAAGTTGTTTTTACCAGATTTACTTAAACTTTTGTTCCTTTTTAACAGCAGAAAAAAACTTATAAAAACTAAAGGAGTCATGCTTGTTGAAATGATATCTAAACAATATCGTGGTAGTTAAATAGGTATATCTAATAAGTAATTAGAATGGATATTTATCTCAACTAGTTGATCGAAACCAGTGAGCTCAACCAAAGTTTCAATATCTTCTTTTTCTCTGAATTTATTAATTTTAAAAGAAAAACTTAGGATGTTTGAACATCTTCAGTAGCATATATTTAGATTCCACCATAAAAAAGTATACATATATATATATATATGGCATAACATGAGTCTTTTTGTGAATCCAATCATCTTTTGTGAATCCAAATTAAACAAATATTTACATTTAATTGTAGGTATTGTACAATTCTGAGAACTGATATTAAATTTTTTTATTTAAAATATATTAGTGTGAGTTTTGATAATATTAATAACAAAATAATATTTTTATTGAATAATTTTCACAGAGCTTGGTTAAATATTTTCATTTAAAATGCCTTATAAAGCTGGATCCGCTAAATTTTCAATCCCTTCTAAACAAAGAAAATTGAATATTTGATTTGTTAACAAAAGATAATATTATCCAAAATGCAAATGAATATTTAAATTAATATCAGCTTACATTTGGCTAAAAGTAAATAGTTCTTTATAGTTTAGAAAAGGTTTTGCCAAATGAAAAGGAAGTAAATAAGAAAGTTCTTGCCCCGTGTATTCATCTCTCTAAACTCGTGCTTCCGAAAACGAAACTTCGAGACCTTTTGTATTGATTTTAGCAGTGATTGCGACAGATACAAAACCCTATAATTTTCCTTCACCATACAACATAAGGAAAGAAAATTCTGGCCATGAAAGCAAAACACTCCAATAGCTTTAAATGCGACGTCGTTTCTTAGGAACTAAGCAAAGACCCCACCTTTCTCTCTCTCTCTCCCCTATATATAAATAATCTTTCTCTGCTTTTACCTGAAATCGTTTCGTCACGGATCATAAAGGGTTTGGAAGCAAAAGCATGTCTTCTTATTACAGATTCCAATCTGGGTTTTGTCCTCTTTCGCCGACTCCTTCGCTTGAGAGCTTCGTGGAACGGATTAAAGACGCGTGTCACTTCCTCGTCTCCGTTGTTCTTGGTACCATCATCTCCGCCATCTTGACCTTCTTCTTCGCTCTAGGTTCGTTTGCTTTTTCTCTTCTTGAGATTGATCTTTGATTCTGAAAGTTCGATTCTTGGATCCAGTTTAGTCTCTGCTCTGTTTACTTACTTGTTACTCTGCTCTGCTCTGTTTACTTTGCTTATTCTAGACTTGATGTGATTAATTAGCAAAGTCTACGATTTATTTAGAATTAATACCATTTCCAATGTATTTTGCTATTTTTTTATTTTAAAATGAAAATAAATTTTATAAAGATGAAATTTGCTCTGATATATTTATATATAATAGTTTTGTTCAAAATATAGAATAAAAAATAAAAATTACTATTTATATTTCTGTAAATAGAAGAAAATAGCAATTTCTATTTTAGAGAAATAACTGTGAGTTCAAGTAATTTTTTCTATAAATACAGTTATAGAGACATAAATAACAATGCGTTGGAAATTCCTACCAAAAAGAAAAAAAATAACAATGTGATACTTTTATTCATGTTGCAGTGGGAACGTTGTTAGGAGCACTTACAGGAGCTTTGATAGGCCAAGAAACAGAGAGTGGGTTCATTAGAGGAGCAGCTATTGGAGCCATTTCTGGAGCTGTTTTCTCCATCGAGGTCTTTGAATCATCCATCGATCTTTGGAGATCAGATGAGTCATGTTTTGGATGCCTTCTCTACTTGGTGAGCACCAACACTTTCTCTGTTTGATTGGATTGAAATTTGAAGTGATTATTGTTTTTATTTTCTTATGTAGATTGATGTCATTGTTAGTCTTCTAAGCGGGAGACTCGTAAGGGAGCGCATAGGTCCTGCAATGCTAAGTGCAGTGCAAAGTCAAGTATGTTTTTTTCTGCATACAAAAGGTTTCAGAATTGGCACCATCTCTGTTTCAATTGTTACTGATGCTTTGTCTTTTATTAGATGGGAGCTATGGATGCCTCCTATGACGATCTCTCTAGCCTATTCGAGACAGGAGGCTCAAAAGGATTAACGGGAGACCTGGTTGAGAAAATCCCTAAGATGACAATCACTGGCAACAATAACACAGATGCTTCTGAGAACAGAGAATCCTGTTCCGTTTGTCTTCAGGTTCTAACATCAGCTTGTTTCGTCTTAGCTTATTACATGGAATCACAGATGTAATTGATTGCTTATTTTGTGATTTTGTAGGATTTCCAACTTGGTGAAACAGTTAGAAACTTGCCTCATTGTCATCACATGTTCCACTTACCTTGCATAGACAATTGGCTCCTCAGGCACGGTTCTTGTCCAATGTGTAGACGTGACCTTTAATTCTCTTTTCATTGCCCTTCTTTCATAATCTAGTTTAACCGCACAGTTCGGATATGTCTACACAGCTCTTGTCCTCCTCTCAACTTTCATGTAAATTACACTTCTTTTTTTTACTTTTTACAGTTACCATTTATACCTCCTCAGAGTATAGTATACTACTAGCAGCCTAATTTACTGCAGGATGTATCTTCTTAGTGTTATCTTTACTCAGCATATATATAAAAGCAGTGGCGGCCCTGAGGGGAAGCTATGGAAGCATTAACTTCTGGCCCTCAAATTTTATTAATAGATTTCAGTCTTTTATTTAGTAGTCTATCCTTAGTGTATGGTTTATATATATCACTAGTAATGCCAAAAGATCTTAGGTTCGATTCTTAATTCGGTCATTTTATTTTATTTTGCTTCTGGCAATTTAAAACTCAAGACCGGTGCTGATAAAAGAAACACAGAAAAAAAAGAGAGAGTATATTTTTCTCTTTGTGAAGGCTTGTATGATTTGTTCCACTGAAGCCAGAAACTAGATGGTTGGCATTTTTTTTGAGGTCTTGAAACCAGAGACACAAGTCAGGGGACCATATCCTTTGAAAATTGGTACTAGATTCTTGTCTGGTGTACCTAAACTTTATAGGTACTTCATATTTTAAAGCACTATCTAATGTCATTTCCTAATTACGTAAATCATGTTTAAGATCATTATTATTTTATGTGTGTTTGTGTGTGTAGTTATACTCGGTTTAAGTCCTTATCAAGCACCAGATTACAATACCCAATCGTAATTATTATGACATCTACTAAAAGTACCCTGAACTAGCCCTGGGCAAAAAAATCGGAACCGAAAAACTGAACCGAAACCGTACGAAAATACCCGAAACCGAAACCGGATCGAAATTCTTAAATATCTGAATGATTCCTATATTTCTATATCCAAAAATCAAACCAGAACCGAACCGAGAACCGAACGAGTACCCGAATATCTGAAAAACCAAATTAAAGTTTTTTAAACATTTTTACCACCAGACCACATTATGTTTTATTTATTTCCTTATATTATAAATACATATAGTAATTCTATATTAAAATATGATAATTATTTATAAAATTAACACTTTATTGATTCGAACTCTTGTTGGATTGACAAATATTTAAGCGTGTAAACATTAGACCATTTAAATTAACATATTAACTAATATATTTTCTATATATATATATTTGATTTATATATTAAACGGGTATCCAAAACCAAACCGAAACCAAACTGGAACCGAACAGAAACCGAATCGAAATCTCATGAGTACCTATTGGTATAAGAATGATTTATCCGATATATCCAGAACCGAATGGTTCCTATCCGGAACCGAACCGAATATCCGAATGCCCAAGCCTGAACCCTCTCTCTCTCACGAGTCACGGCTTATCATCTTGACGTTCCTAAAAAGCACACATTCAATAATCTTACGAAACAAAATGTCTTATTTTCAGCCTTTATAGTATTTGAGCTCTATAATCTATGTACCTTTGTTTCACAATCTGCTTCGGCATCATTAGCATTGACCTGATTTTCCTCGGTTTGTTTGGCATGAACCGAATCTCTTGCCTTAATCATTCTCATCGTCAGTCTCACCAATCTTATCACGTCATCATCAAATCATGAATTCAGTTACACTTCGATCACACTCTATCTGAGTCGAATTTTGTATGGACCATCTTCTTTTTCCAAAGCGCAATATCAGTTCATCCTTCATATGGTTCCAGCTGCGGAAAATGCATGATAGATTATTTTGCTTCTGTGAAAAAAATAAAAATAAAAAAATATTTTGCTTCTCTTTTAATGGAGGTTAAAGCGGGAAAAAAGATTAAAAGAACACATACCCTATATTAATAAGATCGAACAAATAACCCAATCTTGAGTCCCAACTAAGAAACAAACCCATGCAACAAGGTACGGTTTGTAGAACTTGACTCGATCAACACCGCCAATCTTCCTTTGCTTCCTCTCCACGTCATATCACTATGATGGTTAATGTTCTTGAATAAAAACCACATGTAAAAGTTTTTGCAGGGAGACCTAAAGGCACGTTGCATTCAATGCTCTCGCTGATCTTAGGGACTTAAAAGTAAGTAGTTTCCGTAGATGTAAACTACATAACTCTTGAATGCAACGTGCGACAGACGATTCAACTTCTTATTTTTGGTCTGCAATGGGAAAGTTCGTTTGACGATTCAAATATGGTGACGGTCCGTGGTTGGTACGCCAAGTATATTTCAAAACCTATCTCATTTTTAGCATTAAACAAGAATAAATTTTCATATCCATTCAATCAGTTTATCTCGATGAACCAACGAGAGGTGCTGAATGTATGATTATGGATAAACAAAGGAACTGCCATAAATGTATGATTATTTATTGAGAAAATATTCTTATAAATATAAACACATCCACTAGTAGTTGTTGGCAGGAAAAAACTATGATAGGCTCAAACTATTCACCAATGAGCTTCTTTCTTCGTACCATTGTTCTTCTTCTCTTCTCCATTTCAAATGTATTCAGTGCTTTTGCTTCTCTTACACCGGACTTGTGTCATCCGGATCAAAGAGATGTGCTTCTCGAGCTCATGACGGAGTTCAAGATCTGGAAGCCTGATCGTTACCCGACCGCTTGTTACCCGAAGATGGAATCCTGGGGCAACGGAAGCAGCGACTGTTGTATCTGGGACGGTGTAACATGCGATATTAAGTCCGGGATGGTGATCGGTCTTGACCTTAGTTGTAGCTTTCTTTATGGTCGGTGTTGGGCCCGAATTTAGCCCGTTAGCTGAATTAATGGGCCAAATAGTAAGAGCCGTTTGCGAAGCTTTACGAGCCCATTAGGAAGCCTCCCCTCAAGTGAGGGTCAAATAAAATCGTTACCTATCGATAAAAACAGGTCACAGCCAAAAGACTCGGGACCTCATTGTCAAAACAGCTAGCAAGGAACAGCTCCGGAGAGACGTGCAAGACTTAGTCAAGCGGAAGCTGTTGTGAATCCCGCAACGCACGGAGATAATCACGGAGGCTTCGTCGGGAGAAGTTGGACGTGACCTAGTGCTATATAAAGGAAAGAAGAGATCAGAGGAAGGGGTCGACTCATTCAAGATAACAAGACTCTAATACACATTGTTCTTAATCACTTTTGATCAACCATTGTTCTTTCTATTAGATCATCAAGATCATCCTTGTAAACTCTTTTATTACCAAAAATCAATATAAACAACGTATTCATTCTCTAAGTTCTTAAGGGATTCAGCCCACGATTGTCTTCTCCCCAATCCTAACCTAAC